GTTTGTTTGTTGTTGTCTGAATCGGACACGGATTTAGACCAGAGATCCGACGGTTACTCGAATCGACATTTTAGAACATTGTTCGAGTAGTGTCGATTTTAGACGGATCTCTCTATTTGAGATTTTTTTGTTTGATTTTTATTTGGATTTTGAAATTCTTGAGTCTCTAGGGCTCTTCTGCTTGCAGTGTGAGTTCCAGATCTGGTTTTGTACAATCGATAATTGCATTTTGTATAAAACTTTGTTAATTTTTTTTTTTGGGGGTTAATCATTGTGTTTACTGTCTTGATTATTTCATTTTGTTAATGATTAAGGTTTTGTCTTTTCAAGCTTATTATTAGAGTTGATTATAGCAAAATGTTGTACCTTTTTTTTTGTTGGTTTGCTATAACTAATTAATGAAGGGATGATTGATTATTAATTTTGATTATTGTTAACCATATTCACATAGTCTTGATAGAGAGATGATGTAATCTTTGTGTAATTAAAGCTTGCGTTTATTGGTTTGGACAATGCAGGTGCATACATTATGGGCAAGTCTACTAAGTGGTTAAAGAATGTACTACTTGGAAAGAAACAATCTAAGTCTAGTGGTTCCAAAGGAAAAGAGGTAAAGAGTTATTCTAGAATATGTGTTGATTGCTAGTCTAATTGTATGTGGAAGTTGGATCAGAATCGAGAATTTGTGTGGAGGAGTACCGCAGATGGTTTTTCTTCTGACTATTGTTTTCATGCGCAGAGAGTTGTGAGTGGAAATGAGATACTGGTTACTGCAAAGGTAGAAGAGTCCGATGTGGTATCAGATCTTCCATCTTTTGCTCATCCAGCGACCAATTCCGTTGATAGAAGCAGTGGTATGTTAGAGACACATGATGTAGAACTTGAAGAGATCTCAGATGATGAGATACAACTTTCTGAAGGAAAACCAACAGATTTTCAAAATGCTGCACCTATGCCCGAGAATTCACTCTCTGACGCAGAGAGAATCCAACAAGTGATTGCGGCAACGTCTGTGCAGGCTGCGTTTAGAGGTTACTTGGTAATGTTTTCAGTTGTTTGGATTACAGACTTGGCTCTCTTGATTGCAGCTATTAGTGATTTTTATTATTATCCTGATCTGAGCTCATTATGTGAAGGCACGGCGTGCATTTTGGGCACTCAAAGGCATAATTAGGCTACAAGCACTTATTCGTGGTCACCTGGTTAGGAGGCAAGCTGTTGCAACTCTTTGCTGTGTCATGGGAATTGTTAGGTTGCAAGCGCTTGCTCGAGGAAGAGAGATCAGAAATTCCGACTTTGGAGTTGAAGTTCGTAGGAATTGTAGATTGCATCTGCTTCAGGTACTGATACTTTTGCTTCTCTGTAGATTTACAGAGTGAACAATAGTTCAGAAATGACCGTTTGTTTTCTATCGTCAAATTAGAACAACCTTGGCAACCCTCCTGACATAGATGCTTACCTGGGAATCAAGAATCTAACTGCCAATGCTTTTGCTCAGAAGGTACGCTCGATGATAATATATTATGTTGAAATTAGTACATATAAACAAGATGAGAAGAAGCCTATTCTAAGTTGTAGCATTTTGTTATTCTATTTTATGGAGTCTTCTAAACTTTTGTTTCAGCTTCTCGCTTCATCGCCAAGAATGATACCTGTACATGTCCCCTATGATACATCCAGTCCAAACTCAAACTCGACGTGGTTAGAGAACTGGTCAGCCTCCTGCTTCTGGAAACCAGTTCCTCAACCAAAGAAAACAACGGTGAGAAAACCCCAGAACAGACTTGCCAATAATGCACACATAGCAGAGGCAGAATCTGCTAAGCCCAAGAAGAGTGTCCGTAAAGTTCCTGCTGCGAATTTTGAAAGTTCCTCAGTACAGACATCTTTTGAGTTTGAGAAACCCAAACGCAGCTTCCGGAAAGTTTCAAGCCAGTCTATAGAACCACCCGCTGTTGAAAATCCTCAGATTGAACTTGAAAAAGTTAAACGTAGCTTGAGGAAGGTACATAATCCTGTAGTTGAGAGCTCCATCCAATCTCAACCAGTCCCTCATATGGAAGTTGAGAAGCCAAAGCCTGGTATAGAGAAGATAACTGGATCATCATATCCGGTGGTTCATGAACCCGTGGAAGAACCTGCGAATGTCTTTGTCGAAAAGAAAAAGAAAGAATTGCCTGAACAGCCTGAAGAGGTACATGTTCTTGACGTGGAAGCGCATACTCCTGGACCACTGGAAACCAATGAAGCACTTGATTCCTCAATGGTCAACCAAATCGACAGCAACGAAAAAGCCATGGTTGAAGAAACACCCTCAATGGAAAAGGATGCAAAAGAAGCGAAAACTCCCAAACCAAACAATAAGGAGAATTCAGCCGGGAAGGAGAACCAGAAGTCCAGGAAAAAGGGTTCGGCTACTAACAAGACCGAGCGTGAAGAGAGTAATGGGCATCATCAGACTAGCCCATCAATCCCAAGCTATATGCAAGCAACTAAATCGGCGAAAGCCAAGCTGAGGCTACAAGACTCACCAAAGTCTGCTGAGCAAGATGGGACTGAGAAAGCCAATGTTCCCAGACGTTACTCTCTACCATCTTCAGGTAGCAGGGTTACCTCTCACTCTCCAAGAACAGGGAGACTCGCAAACTCAGGTGACAAAACCGGGAACAAGAAGGAGAAACCTCTTTTGTCGTCCCGAGAAGGAAATGGTTAGTGCCAAAAACCAATACATGCTTTAATGAGATCAAACTAAATTATATCTCACTAAATATCACCAATAGTTATTCCACTTTCTCTTGCATCTTACTACTCTCGACTCTGTTGTTGCCTTTTGCAGCAAAGACAACTCCGGTAGAGCGGAAGAGGTGACTGATTACTTCAGAAAGTTGAAGCCTTTATCCTTCCTGATTCTATAGTAGCGGACATTGTCAACATGAGGAATGCAACCATCTATCTATATCAAAGCTAGATTTTGAGTCTGTGATTGTGTGTGTTTATGTTGACCAAGTGTCATCGTTGGCCGCTGAGTTTCTGAAACTGTGCCCTGAGCCGATAATGTTACACCACAAGGCTTTTTGGATCTTGTTCTTCTTCTTCGGGTTTTTATGTTACATTACTTTGATTACTTTTGAAGATTAAACTTTTTATGTTTATATGATGAATCTGTGATTACTTTGAATGGTCTCCTTCATCTGTTTTGGGTCTGAATATGGATCAGCTGTGTTTTGGTCAATGTTCTTCAACTCAAGAAAACAAAACAGACATGAAACAGGAAGATACAATGGGTCTTCTTCAAAAAACCAAAAAACCTATCACATCTATGTAGATTAACTTGATCGGTTTCTATCAAAAGTTTCAGACCTACGGTACCGATTCTTTTTATGAACATTTAACTGAAGTGAAGAAAGCTTATGCGAAACCGCTGACCAAATCATATCCACAGAATCTCCAGGACGAGAAGGAAACCGATACTCGAAACACTCAACAACCTCTTTCAGTCTCTCCCACTTCTTCTTCCACTGATCCTTTGTTATCCCTCTGAGAAGATTCACCAAAAACCCTTTCTTTACAGCTTCAGAGGAGTGCAAAAACACAGAGAAACCCGAATAGTCTAGAGTATCTTCAAATGGAAGCTCAATCTGATCACTGATTATAACCGGAACACAATGGCTCACGATGGAATCGAAAAGACGGTTAGATGAAGGCGTGTCACCTGCGATATTGAGACAAAACTTCGAGGAGGCCATTCCTTTACCAGTTTGTTTAGTCCCGTTCCCTTTTACCGTTCCAAATGCAAAGTGAACGTCTTTCTCATCTTTAAGAAGGTAATACAATTCTTGGCGAATACTTCCACCCTACAATTCTTAAGTAAATCAGTCACATGATTGATAGATTAGAGGAGAAAACTCGAAAACACTTACATCTTTTCTGTAGATTGCTCCTTGGAAATATGCCAATACAGGACGCTTCTCAAACGGCGCTGACTCATTGTTAGAGACAGTCTTAACGACGTGCAAGTAAGGCGCAATGATGTCTTTCTCAATATTAGCAATCGCGGATGGATATCTTCCGAAATCCGAGAGAACAAACATTGCGGATCCAAGCGAGTTTCTTGCATAAAGCAAACTGTTTGGATGGTGAGCTACTATCAAATGATCTTTCCCATCAAATCTTTTCCACTCTTCTCGACTTTTCAAGAACTCAACTAACCTTTCCTGCAACAATCTATCAACACTAATGGCATCGTTTCCACGGAGCTTAGATTTCCGATTGTAACTCAACGAAGAGAAGAACGGCACGAAAACAATGTCGGCCTCAATCGAATTCTTCACTCTAATTGCACTACAATGTCTCTTGATTCCAGGTATCTCTGAAGCTAAGAGGTCAAGTGTAAGCCAATACTCTACACTATGTTGCCGATTTAACCCACCAGGATAAGATGGGATTGTGCTAATGTTCTTGACATTTGGCCAAATCTCAGATCTTTTACTGTGCCAATTCAATAAACCAAAGTGAAATTCAGAGGGCAAATCGTACATAAACACCTTTAACACATCTCGGTTACGAACACATGAGACATGGGTCTTGTCGAATTCTTCGTTCTTGATGTCTGTTCTTGGAAGAATCAGCTTGTGAACTAAACTCGAAGTGAAAGAAGAAGGTTCGTTGCGTTGAAGGAAGAAGAGGGAAGAGATAATGAATAGTAGAGTTGAAATAGTTATTGTGTAAAAGAGGAATTTTGAAGAAAGTAAGCTCTTTTCCGACATT